AAAGACTTTGCGAATTATTGCGCAACTCTGATTTTACAGTAAGGAGGGGTGTTACAATTGGTATCAGAGCCACGTTTTTGCGTCTCTGATAAGTTTTTCAGTCAGTGATTTTTTTTAGAAAACCCGAACCGTCATGCTCACGCCCCGCCGACGACAGGTAAGTGCTGTTGCAATTCAGTTTTTCAGTTATAAACATATTACTTTGTCTATGCTCAGAATTGAGGATCAGGACTTTAGTTAAGATGCTCAAATCAGATTCAGATCTTAGAGTTTGGACATGACTCTAGAATTCAGGCATTCAGATATGACTCTAGACGTTAGGATCTTCCGAGATGACGCTAGAGTTCTTCAGGTTTCACGTCAGTATTTATCGGCTATTCTTGGCAACTCGTCAAGAGATCTGTGTGCCTAGTAATCAGTCAGTAAGGTTACCATGCATATTCAGTAATGTTAAAACTTTTCTCGATGTTCAGATACCGCCCCGTAGGGAACCCGATCACTCAGTTTTTATTCAAGCCACAGTAGTCGCACAGTTCCGCGACTACCATGTTGAGAAATTCTTCGGCCGAGGAAATCCCCGTATCAGGGGCAAGTGAATTCAGAACCGTAGAAAAGGATTGAGTTTAAGAACTCTAGATTCAATTCTAGACTTATTCAAGTCAAGTTAGTAATTTGTCAGAAGATTTGTAAGCATTGTGCTAAACAAATCTTAATAATCATGTTTCTCAGATATTTTTATCGAGGACTGCCATTTTGTCAATCAACTGGCAGACTCCATGGAGAAATTCCTTGATTTAAATTCGAGGAATAGACTCAAGTTCCTAAGTCAGATCAGTAAGTCATGATTCAAGGCAAGAATTTTCATGTTAAAGGTTGTTATAACTCTCAAGTCATTGTTAAGGTAACGGTTTCCAGTGTATAAGAGTCAATAGTCCGGGTTACCATGGAGGCTTGAAATAAGAGCCACTCAGTCGGGTATACCATGGAGGCTTGAAGCTGGGGCCGGATCAGTAAGATTTCAGGTAATAACAACCTTTCAAGTCAGTCATGTCAGATATTTTATCAGTCATGCTATTTTAAGTTATGACTTTCAGAAGTCAAGATCAGCTAATTACTTTGTACTTGCGGGACCAGTTGATACTGGAGCAGCCCTAGAAAGTACAGAGTTCAGGTTCACGATTTACAGTTTATGTTCATGATGTAAGGTCGACGTATAATAGTTGTTCAGCCGGGTAAAATGTGGCGGTCTGATATACAGACCATTAGTCCAGATTTACCTGGAAACTTGAAGTCGTACCTTATCAAGTCAAGTAAGTTAGTAACTATTACGTTTTCAATCCGGAAGTGACTATTTAAGTTGTCTCGGGATGGTGTTCAGAGTTCGAACCAAGATGATTCAGTCATGTGAGAGTCAAGTCCTGGTTATTCAGTCAGGAGAGTATTCAGGCCAGTCGTGTTAAGATCGAAGATAGTTTGTCTAATAAGACAAGACTTATCCATCATTTTCAGTATGTCAGCGCCTCGATTCTCAAATTCTGAAGAATCTGAGAAATCGTGGGAGATATTAAGTCATGAGGGACTTCTTCTTGAGGTTAAGTTTAACCTCGGAGGGAGTAAAAAGTTGCAGGTACCACAGGTTGACATTCGCCGCGATGAAGAAGAGCCAATCGACAACAACGGATCGTGCCATGATGGTAAACCGACGCTTTCCACCCCAAGGATGCCATGCTTGAGTCACAGTACACTGGAAGGTTGCAGAGAGTTAGTATTAACGTACATTGAGGTTACTAGCTTGAGGTATACGATCAGATTACGTCAACGACGCAGGTGCAATGTTCGCCAGGTGCTGTATGCAGGCGTGCCGCACTCACTTGATGAGGAGCAGGCGTGCCGCATTACAATGTGCCGCGAACGATGTGCCGCGTCGTCGAGCAGACATTCATGAAAGGTAAGAACCAATATAGCTAGTTATCCTTATTTGTACATATGTG